AAAATATTTGTCATATAATCTCACTCTAATCTAGGCAATCACCTCAAGAAAATGTATTTTGGTTGCAACTATAAGTACGAAGCTACATATTAGAGAGTTCCTCCCAAAAGAAAAACAATCACCTCTTACATTTAGAAAACCAGCACGTCATGGAAAAACTAGGCCAGGCCAAAGCTTTTCTCTCTCACATCTACTTTTTGTGTGCAATGAATTTTTTTTTTCAACCAAGCATTCAAAACTCAGCCCCCCACCTGCAGTCTGAAATGACACAGTCCAGAAACAGTTTTACCCCATAGTGAGTAGTTCTGCCAAGGCTGACCTCAAAGCTGCTTATAATAAACAACTCAAACAATATGTTTCTGCTCTAAATAGAAAAAGAAAAAAGAAAAGCAAAAGTCTATTGTTCGTTTTGTGGGAAAGAGAAATTTAAATACAGAATTAATTGCCCAAGATACAGAACACAAAACTTTTATTATTTATCATAAATACTTTAACCCCATACTAAATGCACAGAAATTCATGGGCACATATATAGTATAGGATTTGATTTCACAGTGCATATCAGATTTCGTTTAATTGAAAAAAGTTGTCATGTTGTCTCAAATTTTGGAAGAAATCTTGACTTAATCTATATTCTGGCTTAACAAAAAATCTGCAATACAGATTAGAACTATCACATCTTTAAGTCAAAGGGTTAAATCATTCCAGTGACTCCCTTCCCAGTTGTACTATCAAATAACCTATACTGTTAAAGCATCTTTTTTCCCAGTGTTTAGCTGAAATCTGATTGCTTCACTTTTGTTTTTGGCATATTAAAGAATAAATCCTTAATAAAATATCTGCAGTGAGCAGGAGAGAAATATTTTATAAAGTTCTCCATATAGGTAAGTCGATGCAATACCAACAAAGGAAGAAGCCCAAAATAAAAACAAAAAACAAAATAAACCACCCACCAGCTCCCTAACTCCACATGCGTTATTCATTCAGGGGAGTTTAAAATTTTTTGGCAAAGCATTTGCCTTACCATGGAAGCAACATTTAATTTCATTATTCATCCCCGCAAGTGGAAAATAGCACAGTATGCTGGTGAAGATGTACAATAGTAATATATTTGCAGGATACTCAGTGAGCCAAAGCTTGATCATAAAAGTAAAATCTGCAACTAATGCGTCAGATAGAATTTTTATATTCCCCGTTTTAATTTCTCTCTCTCTCTTTCTTGGCCAACAGGGATGCTGGATGGCGATCGCGTCATGATAACAGCCTGCTCCTTCATCCAGCCATGGTCTCAGCTTTCTCTTGCGCAGAAACGAGGCTTGAGTCTTGATTACAGCAAGGGCTGCAATTGCACAGTGAGTGTCTGGGTCTAGGAAACAATCTATCTCAGGGATCTGACGGCAGAAACAAATGCTTGCAGGCAGTCTTGCAGGCTAGCCAAAAAAACATTACACATAGAAACACATAGAGTGATCTTTCTGGTCCTGAAAGCTGATATTATAGCTCATTCTCTAATTTTCCTCTGCCTAAAGCCCTCCAAGTGGGTAAGGTTACAGTCCTGAAATCCTCCAGGTATAATGGTCATTGGCTCTACTAGCTGGGAAATAATGCAGATTGAGGTCAAACGTATCTGGAGGGCCTCAGGCTGATGAAGGCTATCCATATTTATGGCTTTATCCACAGTAGCAATTCGTCTAGCCAGGCCACAGATGCAGTCCTTGTAGATGATGGTACAGGGTTCCATAGATTGCCATGCACATGACTGATCTGGAGGAGAAGAGACCAACCTCCTCCAAAATTTTTGTTTACGTGCTGGCTCCAGAGGAAGAAGACCCACCACAACTCTCATTCAGATCTTGATAGAAATTTTTTTTAAACCTAGCCTACAAAAGGATTAATATCCTGAATTTCCATTCTGGAACTGAAGGATTTTTCCTTCTTGACAACCAATAAGAAGCAAAAGCTTCTAAGCTCTTGGAAAGCTAGAAGGATAAAGCAGAGTAATAGTGGGTCTATTTGCAACAAAAAAAAAAAAAGGGAGAAGGGGAAAATACAAAGATGCAGCTTGTTATATGTAGAAACAATTACCCATCCACAGAGGCAGAGGGTACTGTAAATGGGAACGAGCAGCTCTGGTAAATAATGAATTATGGGATGGATAATGGTGACATGACTTAGGAAGATGGGTTAAAGCAGTGGTTCTCAACCTGTGGGTCGGGACCTCATTTGGGGTCGAACGACCATTTCACGGGGGTCGGCAAACAACGCAGTCTGCCATTTTTTTCCCCTTTTCCTTAGCTGTGCTACTCCCTTTTATTCTATTGGCTTTTGAAAGCCAATAGAATAGACTCTCTTAAATAGAGAGCCTGCCAAAAGTCCCATTCTGCAAACGGTGCTGCACCAGTTGAGTAGTCCACGACTTACGACTGGTTGAGTAGTCCTTGACTTACGACCGGTTGGGGGTCGCGGCATTAAAAAGGTTGAGAACCACTGGGTTAAAGTGTCTTTTGCCTGAGTGTTGGTTCTAAAGGAATACACAAATGACACAGCCAATGTTATCTGTCCTTCAGTCCTTGCTCAATTCAAAGCATACAGTATATTCTACTAAAATTAAAACAATTCTCCAACACTGGGCCCTCTGATAAGACATTCAGTAAATCTCCAACTTGCAACAACTTTTGAGTTCTTTTTGGCCCCGTCATGTTTGATTGCCTATTCTAGATTACAGCAAAGCAGAACTAACAGTAATGTAGTATTATATGCTATTCGAGAGGAACGTCTCCCTCACACTATCCTTATGTTCTTCTGCCATTCTTTCAATAGGTCATGGCCTGCCTTTCCATGCCATGTTTCATCTCTTCCGACAACCAGTGCCTATGGACAGATGGGTTCATGTCCCGGATATGGGATGGTCTCCAGGCCAAGCGCCTGGCTTGCCTTCCTCGATCTGAAAGCTCTAGCTTCTGCACCTGGCAATCCCTGAGTTCCCAAGGACCTGGGTCCCTTCGCAAGTCTCACCTCCTGAGGCAGTGACATCCTATGGACTCTGGAGTGGTACTCCTCTCCCTGACAATCCCTCCATTTCTATCTGAGTTATCTCTTTTTAAATAAATGCCAATTCCAACAATTAAGCTTGCTCAAGTTCTGTCCTGGTTCTGGCAAGACAGTAGCAATGGCCTCTACAGTAGGATACGGTGAATCCTTTAAGGAAAACCCAAGGGAACACTTTAGATGTTTTTTTCCTGGGGAAAAAAACTTAAGAATGTATGTAAATAATTTTCACAAAAGAAGCAGAAGAAGCTTTCAGTAGCCTGCACAATGGCCTGCAAAGTGCCTTCCAGTTTTCCTACTGCAACCCTAGCCCCCTCCCCCACCCAGTCTTTCTTCCTGTCTGGGTGTCCTGGGTTTACTATTCCACTGCCCATATTCTGGATTAGAAGTAAAGAAAGCATCTTCCAAAACTGCACAGCTCAGCCAGATATCCAGTGTGGGAATAAGAAACTGTCATTAACAACAGCATATCACTAAGCACAGGAAAAGCACTTTTAAAGCCATCGCTAAATAACTGCAAGGTCACAGGAGGGCAATGCGCACATATATACAGGATTTAGAAGAAAGAGCAGAAAAGTATGTATTTTAAGGAATGACTGAGCTCCTGCCAAGAGTGCTTGTCCATAGAAAGGAAGAGGATAGCCAAGGGGAAATGTCATCCTTTGCATCCCAAGACTACACAAAATGATTCTGCACTTTGAAAATAACTATTCTAAAGTAAGCTGACCTTCTACAGCTTGGTTTTCATCACTGCACTTTAGAATTATACTAGGCTTATATTGGTTTTAAAGTCTCTGCCTACACCTCACAATAGAAAGAATTGAATGGAGGGCAGGAATGAAGTTGTGAGAAGGGGTTGCTAGGTCACAAGCATAAATTAGCCTCCAGGAGATGGCAAGATGGAAAAAGAGAACACTTATATTTATAAATGAGAATAATACATTTTCCAAGTTTTCCATAGGCAGAAAAGGGGTGTGCCACTTGCAAAAACAAAAAGAAGCCCAATGGTAGAGTAAGTATTGAATACTGAAGCAAATTAAGGGGGTCCAAATCTGAGCCTTTGCATACCAGAATTATATTTATTGTTCAATATATTACTTTACATTATATTAGTTATTATGTTACATTCATTAAACTAATCTTTTATCTGTTACATTGATTAAAGTAATTATCAGGATTTGTTTTCACCTTGAAGAGAAAATTAATTTTATCACCTTTAAGAGAGAGAAAATGTTTCTTGCAAGCATTATTGGCCACATAGGAGTATTTCACCTCTGCCTCTACTAGATGAAGTCTTTCATTAGAAGGTGCATGAGAAAACATTTGCTAGTAAATAATAAGTTTATAACAAAATGGGTAAGAAAAATGTGGATATGAGTGTACATATCCCGTGGGCTTCTTGGATAGAGAATAGTATCCACTGTCATTGGACTCTTAGTTCCAACACTAGCTCTAACATGAAGCTCAAATGCAGTTTACCTACTTTTTTGGAGTCGTGTTAAGCATGAACAGATGATTAAAACCCCAAACTAAGTGCAGGTTGAAGTATGGCAACTTCATTAAGATGTCAAGCCTTGTCATGCATGACACATCCTTGAACAGGAAAATGAAGACATGCACTGAAAGCAAGGCGATATTGGACAAAAATTCACACTTGGTTAGAAAAAATGTTAGAGAAACTATAAACCTGAATTTTCTTTTACTAGGTATAATGCCAGAAAAACTTGATAAGCAAAGTGCACATTTGATTTTACATGCGATTAACAGCGGCAAGAATTATATTTGCACAATACTGGACGAACGAAGAAACACTACCAGAGAAGACATAATTTAAAAAATACTAGACTGTGTGGAAATCGACAGACTTACTTTAAGGGTGAAAGAAAAAGAAGGAACAGAATATTTTCAAACTTGGGACTGATTTTATCAATGGTTAGAGAAAAGATTTAGGGATTAGGAATTTAATTTGTATTAGTGAATAAGATACTCAGACAACATGTTTTGTTGAATGATTACTACTGAATTCTATTTAAAAAATTAATTAATAAAACTTTATTTTTAAAAAAGGAAAATGAAGACATGCTAGCTGAGGAGGAATGACTATGACATGTTTTATATCTGAAAACCACATTTACGCGGCTAGCTATATGCATAGATATACTGTATGCATAAATATGGTCACCCTCAATGGTCCCACTCAGAAATGGCTACTTGCCTTTTTAATTATTAAAGGAGCCAGAGAACTCAGAACGTGCTAGTCTCAGCATATAATCAGAAAGATCCTCAGCCTTCCCCACGTCAGTCCAACTTACCATCTCCTTATGATTAGGATAGTACGTCTGGTCAATGAGGGGGAATTCTTCCGGACCAAGCTTGCGTTGCAGGCGGACCATCTGGGCAAACTATTGGAGAGACAGTGCAGTAAGAAACAAGGAAGATATTTCTAAATCTATTTCCACAAGCTTCTAAGGTTAACTTTGCTATCAATCTCGCCCCCGCCCCCCCGCCGCCTTTTTCAACTTTGCAACTCCTGCCTTTTTCCTTCCCTCTACCTGAGTCTGAACAGGAAAGTTTCTGTTAGCAGAACCTGTTGCAAATGTCAGAAATCCTACACAATGTCCACCATCATTGGTAACACCTAGCTGACTCCTAGTCAGCCTAGACATGCACAACTTAGCCATGTTTGTAATATGCTGTCTATGGACTGCCCTCAAAGACAAAGTAAAAGGTTCTGATAATATAGAATGCAGCATTCAAAATGATAACTCACTCAACCAGGAAAAATGATACTACTCATTTCCTTCCAAGTCCAACTTATGGTGCCACTCATGCCTATCTTTAAATACATAAAGAGTTCGGGAACCAGTTAATTCTAGGATCACCTCTTCTAAGCTAGCTTACCTATGAGCTAAGAGAGTTGGCATCTTGGATAGATTATGTGATGACAAAGAGAAAGAGTTTCTCTGTGGAAAGAGTAACTAATACAGCACTGCAATTATTTCAGCACTTTTGTTTACTCAGAGGTTTTAATTAGTTGACATTACTTGCTGTTTTTTTTAAATTACTACCCTTCTCTTGTTGCAAAGGTGTTGTTTAGCTGTTTCTTAAACTGCAGGAATGACTGTGTTTGCACATTTTACATTATCCAAAAGCAGCTTAAAACTAAGTTAGTAAAATGGAGTGAGCCCTCCTGGATACAGATTGAATACCTCTTTGTGCACAAAATAAAGAAATCTTCCACCTTATACGTTCCATAATTTACAATATTAAATTTTCTACGTCCGGTTGTAATACAGAATCTACAGCACCACAGATCTGGTTCTTCATTCAATCACTGTCTTCTGCCACTCACCACCCAAGGCTTGTCACAAAAGTTGTACACGGAATGCAAAGTGTTGACGCTGGGCACGCCTGCATACTGCAAGCCAATAACAATGCCGCGGTGGTCTCCCCCACGAGCCATGCTGTAAGCATGCTGGCGGATCAGGACAAAGTCTGGTTTCAGGCTCCTGGAAGGAAAGGTATGAATAGGTAAAGAAAGGAGAGCCAGGATAAAGAATCTAATACATTTGTCCACAAAACCTGCTTCTTAATCTATAATTTCCATTTTAGGTGCCTAAATCAAACCCTCTTGCTCAATGTGTTCTCTTTCCTTTGGACTTTTACTGCCACTAAGAGGGTTACAGAACATCTGTAGGATTAGATAGAATAACACGTTGAGATACAAAATGCAAGGAAATTCACAGCTTTTTAAGTATCCATGCAATTTGCAAAATTTGTTTTAAGCAGTCCATTAGTCTTAATTCAAGTTGCTCTCGTTTCCTCGGTCACTGGAGGAAAATGAAAAGCTTACTCATTAAAACCCAAGGCTGCCACATTCCCAAGCTCAGGGATAAACAATAACTATGTGTTCACAGACTATACTAATTTCCAGACAGTGCACTGTTTATTCTGCCATCACAATTCAATCTTCATGGGTGGTCAAGCTCTAGTAGAAATTTCCCAGCAATTATCAGAACATGGACGCTGGAGGCTTCTTCCAACACTTTCACTGCAGTCTCTGCAGCTTGGAAGGCCCCTGGGCCATGTCCCAATTTAGGCTATGTCAGACCTGACATAACAAAGATTGATGTCTCTATATGCTGCCCCAAGAGTATTCAGGGAGGTTGATCTGGCACCAACATTTAGCAGAAACCAAGTAGTTAAAAACATTTTATTCATCCAGACATTTTAATAGATTTACTGATTGAATTAAATGTATTGTGCCTGAAGGATTTATCTACTTATTTTATCTTTGGCATATTTGCTGATATCACACTCATCCTGAAGTCTGAATAAATTACTGCATTATCTGAGTGTGTGCATTTGTACGTGCACTGTATTAAAGAAAACCAATCCAGTTCAAGATAGGAAGACTTGTCCCCACTGTAGTCTTGCTCCAGACTAAAAGTTAAATAAAATTCCTTTAAGTTGAGGTTGCTTCCTTACAACTTTATAGACCCATCCATGTCTACTTAGGGGAAAGGATTGTCAGCATAAACACGCTTACTCCCCAATGCAAATAATACCAGATGTGTCTAGGGATGGGGGGAGGGGGAGACAGTCCAGGTAGAAAATTCAGATCAAGAATGTGATGAGAGAAAAAGTTAAAAGCTTCCTACTTCCCATCCCATAGCCCTGAATCAGATAAGGGGTCCATATCTGAAGTTTATCTTGCAAAACTAACCCTGCAACTTCAGTTATCCTTCATTTAGTGGCTTATCTAATTGTTCACCAAGACCGAAAGCATATGAAAGAACCACGGCTCACACAGTAAATTGATACAGTTGGTACAAGAAGGTCCCATTTTTAGCATCTCTGACATTTCATTTTTTAAAAGACTTTGGGCAGTTAGTGCTGGGAAAGGTTTCCATTTGAGAATATAGCAAGCTTTCATCATAAGTTAGAATCACTATTGATGAACAATTTACTTCAGCATTGGCCAATCTGGTAATTTCCAGATGTGTTGGACATAATGGGGATTTAAGTCCAATACATCTAGAGAAATACACCTATCTTATACTGCAGTGGCCCAGGGGGGGAGTGCGATGTCATCACAGGGGTCCGCGAAGGCTTGAAGAAACGTTATGATTTAAATCTTGAGTTACGTCTTGGTGGTCCATGGCCACAAAAGTATTTAAAGGGGGTCTGTGGTGAAGAAAAGGGTCTGTGGTGTATATGACAGCTGGGAGGGGCTCTCAGGAAAAGCAGAACACAGGAGAACATAAATTTGTGAGGAAGAGTCGATTTTTCAAATGTTGCTTAAAGAGCTGTGAAGATAGAAGAATAGCTACAGGGATAAATAAGATTATTTAGAAAGTCAAATAACCACACAGAAATGTTAGACTGCACAATCTCAGTAATCAGAAAAGTGTTTGTCATGGTTCCGATAAATGAGACCAGTAGAAATAAGAACTCTGAGGCAATTGCTTTCCTCAAAGAATACTTTTAATGGCTACATAATATCAGCATGAACATAGGTGAAACCAAGACTGAAAGTTACCCCCCCCCAAAGGTTACAAAGTAAAAGTTGAACTCCCCACCCCTTTATGTATCATAAATCACAATCCCCAATTAACACCTTTGGCGGGCTTCCGAACAGTAGCTCCAGCCCACCAAACATTAAGGCTGCTTGTCCTTGGTTCCCACAAGAAAGTTATTGTTTTGACTAAACTATAAGGATGCATCTCACCCCTTCCATTGCTGTGGCAACCGAAAAGCAAAGAAATATGGCTGAATTCAGAACATTTGAAGGTTTGACAGTGTTGGGCAAAGTAACAATATTCTCCTCTTGGGTCAGCCAAGGCAAATTACACATAAAAAGCAAAGATTTGTGTAACTGCTAATTTCATGAAAGTTCCCAACTTCTAGTTATATAATAGGCTTGAATAAACTTGGTATACAATTTTTAACACACTACTTAAACATCCAGATGAAACATTATTTCATCAGGAGCCAAAATCAAACTCAGTATTTCCTCTGAAATATATTAAAGCCTAATAAACCATCAATACATAAAATACATAACATTCTGAACAATCGTAATAAACTATGGATAGTGCCATGTTTCTACTCACCGTACTACCTTGATCCCGTTGCGTATAACCTCCATGTCAACAGAAAAATTGCCATTAGCATGAGCCACCAAGTTCAAGTCACAGAATTCTGCCTAGTAGAAACAAGACAAAACCATATATGGGTAACACATTCATACATTCTCAGAACCGTCACCCCATCAACTTTTCAAGGTAAAGGGATACCCTTGATGATTACCCCAGCCCACAGAGCAAGTTTTCCATCCACAAATGTCAGTGGGACCTGGACCGTCCTGAAGTCCAGCTAATAGTACAGACAGATATTTCAGTCAGAAAATCAGTGAGACAAGACAAGTTACATTTGAAGGAAACTTGCCCATCACAGCAAACAACTTCTTCAACTAGTCCAAAGTAGGAGTGCAGTGTGGTTAGAATGCTGGTGTGACAATCAGTAAGTCCGCATTCAAGACCCTGTGATAGGGCGAGTTCCAATCATTCACTCCAGCTCCTGCCAACCCAGCAGTTAGAAAGTGAGTAATCACAGGTAGGTAGATAGGTACCACTTCGGTGGGCACATTAAAGGCAACAGGAAAGGAGCCCCCAACTGGATGTCCCCTGAGCAACAGTGATGTACCAGCTAATCTTTTCAATCCAGGAGCCCCTTGGTGCTTCTGACATGAACACAAGGAAGTTCAAAGTTCAGTTAAGTTATTAAGACCAAAACTTGTAACAACATGACATGGAATAAAAAAGAACAAGATTAGTGGTAAGAAAAAGAAAACAACCAAGAAAAAGCATCTGAGATAATTAAATTAAGATGGAACCAGTGCTACAACTGAAAACTATTTTCCCCTGTTTTCATTATATGGACGTTCTCAGCTATCTTCAGAAGGTGAAGAATTTTAGGATGATACTCTATAGCCATTGTCAGCTCCCAGAGAGTAGCCAGAAAACCAGAGAGACCTCAACTAAATGAATTCATGTCAACCTCCAGACATCTTTTCTAAATTCAGACACTTCTCAAGTGCTTCCTGATAAAAATTATATATTTTAAGTATCACTTGAACCATTTGCATGGTTTGCATTAATCATGATTTTTTTTAAAAAAAATAGTCAAAAATGGCCTGGCTGCACATGTAATACTAAATTACTTCTATATATACTCCATTCTAAACCCCAGAGCCCAACTTAGCTCAACCCTTGCTTCTTGTTTCTCTTCAAACAATAAACCTGTGCAACAGATTGGGCTGAGAGACAGTGACTGGCCCATGGTTAAAGATGAACCTAGACCTCCCTAGTCCAACACTTTAACTACTACAATTCAGTTTGTGAGTCATGATCACAAGAAGACCATTTAAAAATCTAGGCTGAAAATAATCTCTGGTGGTAGACAGAAGTTCACCACCCCATTTGCAACCCTCATAAATCATATACGATAAGACTTTACTGGAATGGTTTAAAAAACTAATTCTGGAATTACCCTAGAGTAGGAAAACAGGGTGGGATTCCCATCAGGCTTACTTACTCTGAATTCATTCCCAGTTTCATTTTAAGGGCAGAAATGTAGAAACTACATGCTGATGGAATTTAACACCTCTCCTCCCTGGTTTTTATCCAATAGATTCTCAGCAGAAAAATATAATCTAATGGTGAGGTAGCTTCCTTGAAATATATCTTGCTCATGTGTCTAACCTTCCGTGGCAGTGTGTATTTTATGCTGTATTCTCAATTCAAACTGAAAGGCCTATAGACCACATTTTAAGTTCAGTAAACTGCAATTCAGTTGAGGCAACATTGAAACCTAAACAAACATTCCATGTAGACTTACCCTTAACCAAGGGTGCACCTAAAATACTCCTTAAATTCCTCACAAGGCAATATGACTTTCAGCATCAATCAATGTTTGTTCACCTCCACAAAAAAACTTTTGCAACAGAACCATGCTCCTATGCCAGTGATGGCAAACCTTTCAGAGAGTGAGTGCCCAAACTGCAACCCAAAACCCACCTATATATCGTCGGGTGCCGGGTGGGTGTGGTCCATTTGATGGGTGTGGCCAATTGGGTGGGCGTGGCCCATTGGGTGGGCATGGCTGCGATGGTAACAGCAGACTGGGTGGGACTAAAAAGCTCAATCAGTCAATTCCAACTTTGCAAGATCTTTTTTTTTCTGCGAGAAGTTGAAATTGACTGATTGATTGAACCTTTTTTTTTTTTTGCATATGGCAGCAGAGGCCTAAAGCGAAAAGGTTTTATAAAACCCAGCTGAAGGCCTAGGACTGGGGCAACGGCGTGCATGCCCACAGAGAAGGCTCTGAGTGCCGCCTCTGGCACCCGTGCCATAGGTTCGCCACCACTGTCCTATGCAGTCCCATAACATCAGCTCTGTGGGTAAGCAATCTTTTGAATGTATCTGAAGCCAGAGTAAAACTAATATTTGCAGGCAGAGGGAGTTTCTTCTCCCTCTGAAAGGGACTCCTACTTTTTGCCTGTTATCAGCTCTAGGGCTTCACTTGCATGCTATTGTTTCATTGGTCTTTTAAGGTGAAAGGTAGCTTGGGGGCTTTGCAGTTCCCTATCATAGTACTGTTCTAATTTGTTTGCATATTACCAGACCTAATGTAAACTAAGAATGTGGACCACAGACACTAGTAATTTATTTGCTTCTCATTTTGTGTAGAACAGGAGTAAAAAGAACTTTGTTCCTCCAAGGTCAGCCATGACTAATGGTAGGTAGGTCATTTGGCATTCATTTGATTGAATGGCATGCATGTCTTTGCATCTTCCATTACTATTTCAAGGTCAATATATGTGAGAACAACTGTGAGTTGGCTTTAAGCTACTTTTGAGGGTCAGGCCAGACAAATTACGGATCCCGCTAATAACAGGGGCCAATGCACAATAAGCAAGTGAAGATGGTCCTGGTTTTATTTAACTCCAATTACCACCAACCCTAGCTGGAAATTGGAAACTGCAGCCAAACAATAACTGGAAAGCTATATGGTTGAAACTCTGATAAGGATTTCAGAAGTCAGTCCCTAATATTTGCTTCCTGACTTACCTGTTCAACCTTGATGTCCAACTCCCCATGAAGTTTCTTCCCCTTGAAATATTTTGCCCTGGAAAAAGGAAAAGACATCATAATGTTTAAATTACCCCCAAGTCAGACTGTTCTTCAAGTTATGATTCCAGATGGAGTCAATATTCATACTCACTCTTCATAGCACATGAAGCAAAATCTATGCTACAAAGGGGAAAAATCTAAGCTCAGCCTGATAAGCCAAGATGTATCAGCTTGAACTGATGCCACACCTTAACCTCTTTTAAACCATCATTTTCTATTTCCTTGATAAATCTGGAGGAACCCAGAACACCCAAGAACAGGGCAGATTTGAACTACACTTCACCAGATTTTCTTCTGCTAACTTTTGCTCAGGAATCTTCCACCATTAGCCAACATCATCTCCAAATACAAGTAAACATCCCTATTGATATTTAAGATGTCTGCCAATTCATCAATTTGGCTCCCATCCAAGGATTCATAAGTGATGTGGCCTCATCTGAGATTTTCCAAACCGTTTTTAAAATGGAAAATCTTTAGAATATAAAGATGGTTAGATGTAGTAAATGTGCCATAACCTGTTTGTTTCTAAGGCAGAAGACATTTTTTTCCCTCCAGATAGCACTTCTATCTGGAGGGGCAAAAGCCATGCGTAACACAGGATTGAAGTATTACACATACACACATAAATCAGGACAGAAATCTCTCAGAAGCTTCTTGTCCACAATGGGAAAGACCACTAAGGAGACAAACCATTCCCTTCTATCTTCCCTTTTATGATATTCTTTTTTCCATCCTTTCCTCCTTGTCCATCAAGTTGCTAATTAAAAAATAATTCACTCCTGCCAAGGACTGAAATAGACACTTTCACTGAGCTTTAGAAGGCTGCCAAAGTTTGCATTAATATCAGCTGGACAACTGAATTGAGTGTTTTTTTCCCAGAAAAAAACCTCACTGGACTTCACAAGAGCCCGCTATTCAATGGAAACCCTGTGAGACAATTGTTACAATGACTTGTGATTAATGCACAATTGATGAATTAAGTTTTACTTAATGCAGCTATAGAAGGCAAGTACTGTACCTCACCTTTATGGAACACCTAGCCACGCAATAATAAACATTATCATCCCCTCCACTCCGAATTACATCCAGTTTAACTGCAAAAGCCAAATTAGATAAGTAAGACCTCCCTCCAATCCAGACAGCAATTCCAGGATGAAAATACATCTTCACAAGAGACCTTTCTTCTCCTTGTGACAACTGCCCTCCCCCACTGCATCTGGTGAGTTGGCTCCACGCTGAGAGGCCTAAATACATCAAAACTCTTCCAACACACACTTCTAACATAAGCTTTTAGGAGTGACCAGGACTTTTATGGTTCAACTGTAAAATCACTCAGTAGGTAAGTTTAGCCACAACATTCCTAACTAAACTCATGATTTGAGAGACCGAGCATTTTGCTTGACTGGGCAAAACAACAGTGTCCCCTAAGTGTCTGGCTTTCATTTAATTTTCTATAAATCTAAGCCTATTGCTCTAAAAAAGAGAAAAACAGATGGAAGAAAAAAGCTAATTAGCATCTAAGCAGGAGGCCAGCCTGCTCTTCCTCTCTCAGATAATTCTCTCTACAAAGAACTCTCCCTAACATCTGAAACTCACTGGCATAAGCTGCAGGGATACTAATTTTAAAAATTGCTGCCAAATCCTTTCTAAGACAGTTCCCCTCTAAAAGATATTTGAGACAGAGTGCCATCAGTCAGACTGATGTACCTCAGATACTCTAATATTGCCAGCTGGAGAATTCTTAATGCTTCATTATCCCCCCACGTTAATTAATGGAAAATGCATTAATGCCACTGTATTATCGCTGCTAAATAATGCCAATAATTATACAATGACACAAATTAATGACACGTAGTTTCATGTCTTGATTTGTGTGAGTCAACATGTAGGAATGATGTAACACATGAGACCCACTCGGAGGAAGCCAAGGAGGCAGCAAATAAAGATTTCAATTTATTCAGCATGTGAAACATACCAGAATTAAGACTTGGAACAAAACAAAGCTCGCATTTCTCACAAGAAAAGATGGTTTCTAAATCAACCAATAGTTTCCATGTAGTAAAATACCAGGAGGTACGAGAAACACACAATAATGGGACTAGCCAAGTTTTCATGGAATGAACAAGTCTTATTACGAGGCATAAAATGCATGGGAATTGTGGTCTTTTGGAACTTGGATGCAATATACGGTAAACCTCCCATCTGAACGCTTGGGTCACACATAGGTTTAGCACCTCTCCACTGTTCACCAAAATAGCCTGACTTTTTTTAAGCTTCCAATTAGAAGGGAGGGACGGAGGGAAGAAAGAAAAAGAGAGAGAGAGAGAGAGAGAGGGAGGGAGGGAAAGAAGGAAGGAAGGAAGGAAGGAAGGAAGGAAGGAAGGAAGGAAGGAAGGAAGGAAGGAAGGAAGGAAGGAAGGAAGGAAGGAAGGAAGGAAGGAAGGAAGGATATGCTTTAAGATATCCATGTGACTCTTAAAAGAACAACAGCCTGAAAAAAAATCAGGCTAGCTTAATGAATACAGGAGAGGCATTAAAATGGCCAGCTTAATGAACAGAGGAGGCATTAAAATGGCACTGATGGTCAGAAGCTCTTCTTCCAAGTCATTTTCAAAGAGTGCCCAACCCTAAAAATCAATGTAGTCCCTCTAGCTAAACTAGTTAGTGCCTGTTTGGCTAAGACACTGTGGTTCAGTACATCTTCAGAGAAAAGTAGAAGAGGTTACTTCTGCTTGTATATTATTAGGAAGTCCCTTCCTATCTCTTCTGTTTTTCTGAGCACAATCGTCAGTTGGGTGGAGAAGGTAAGTTAAAGCCAGTCTCTTTCAGGATAATGATTAAGGCTTTAGCCAATCAAATAAAGGTAAAGATAAATATTTCTCCAGAATAGTTGCGTCTGACTCTAGGGGATGGTGCTCATCTCTGTTTCTCAGGCGAGGGAGCCAGCATTTTCTGCACACATTTCCGTGGACATGTGGTATGATTATGCGCCGAGGCACACTGAACACTGCTTGCCTTCCCACCAAAGTGGTACCTATTTATCTATTCTCATTTGCATGCTTTCGAACTGCTCGGTGGGCAAGAGCTGGGGCAAGTAATGGGAGCTCACCCCATCATATGGCGACTGGGTCTGAAACCTGGGCCATTCCATTTTTACTATCTTGGGTCTAACCAGCAAATCAGAAATCCTCAAGGAGAATAGTAAAAAGCCACAAACTGAGTTTCACCAGAAAAAAAATAATTTTGTTTTGGGCTGGGAAAAACAACTGAATTCCATCTGTTTAGACCTGACTTGAAGCTACTTTAGGGGCATAGTGGTGCCAAAGCAAAAATTAAGAGTTTGTCACCCAAGCAGGCAATACATAACTATCAGCTGCTAGACCACCTTAATCTAGAATTCTGGGAAGGGGAAAGGCAGCAAGGACTGTTGCCTTCCCTTATTTTTCCTGCTTTTCTCTTTTCTCAAGCAAACCTATTTTGCATTTAAACATCTGGCTTTATCCTTTGGAAAGAGATTTTCCAATTAAAATCAAAAACTGTAACTCCCCGATTATTGTCTTTAGATTTCCCCCATCCTGTTTACTGCCCCTTCTTAGGGTAGCATTAAAATAATCTGAAAACATGGGGGAAAATTTCCCTTCCCTAAGGACAGCCTTGCCATTTAATCCAGTGTTCTGGCTTCATTGAAAATGGTCTGCTGCAAGTTTCACAAACAAGGAAAAACACCAAGGGGGCATTCCATTCCCTGCTGTTTGTCCCAGTGCCAGGCCAAACTAGGTGCCAGCATTCATGAAAATCATTACTCCTTGTGCAAGAAGCTTTTTTTCCTACCTCAATCTCAGGAGTAAACAAATTCCATAAGGAATTTAGAGAGGGGGAGGGGAAGAAGTGGAGGTCAGTGGCTGGTTCTCTTAAAAAAAAGCCCCCCCCCCAGCTTGTTTCCAGTAGCACAAACCACTCCTTCTCTTACATTTTATCAACTAGCAAACAGAGGGACCACTATAAGAAAACGTCTAATTTCTTTTGCCCAATGTCCTCTAAGCCAGCGTTTTATAATCAGTGGTGCATGTATAACTAACAGTATCCTGGAGTCTAGGTGAGATGCAAGCAGACCCTACCAACTGCAGCGGAATGAAGGGTAAGAACATCTGACGGAGGCATTTCATACTGCAGGGGGGAAAGAGATTCTTAAGAGGTCCCTCCTGGAAAAGTAAATTACAGAATCAGATCCACTGTGAACTCCAGGGGACACATGGGCCAACTGAACATAACCAGTCACACAAAGGACAGCTGCTGCTCTGCAGTAGAGATGGAGATCTTGGCTGTAATTGCCAACAGCAGGAAGTGACTCATTTCAGACACTACATTTTCCTGGATCTGCCTTGACGGGCGTCTATCTGTGATTTTTAATGCTGCTTCCTAGGATATTCTCAATTGTCCTGGTCCCAAATCTGTGTTCCTGCCCAGCCACCAGGAACATGAACGTAATGAACCAGTGCTCATTTCTTGCCAAGAATGAGCAGGCCCTTGCCTGGAAACTCTACTGCCTGTTAAGAGCATGCCTTTCTCTGCCCAGACAGTGAGCACCAAAGGGCACCTGTATCTCTTTCATAGCCACAATTGATGGTTCCTCATATGGGCTGTCTTTGTGCTGTTTCAGGCAATACTGAGGTCTGGAGCATCCAGGGCCTCCCTTTGTGGTCTTTCTGTGTCAACATTGGACTGCAGAGAGATCTTATAATAAAGCATGCTATTTAAGTTTATATGTATCATAAAAGATAAATATGATAGCATTCACCACTTCTGGAGGCAGGTTGTTCCATTGTTAATTGTCAGGAAGTTTCTCCTTAGTTCTAAGTTGCTTCTCTCCTTGATTAGTTTCCATATATATATATATATATATATATATATATATATATATATATATATATATATATATATATATATATATGTAGGTCTTTGGTTGTTCGGGTTTTCTCCCACGTAAAAGTTATA